ATTTTACTGGCCTAGGTATATAATATACTATTTCTTGATTCAAAAAATTTTTTTTAAATTAATACTATTAAACATGTTGAATTAAGAAAATAACTTTTTCATGAGAAAACAATTTATTTTTTTAAGTTAGCCCAAACTCATCTTAATTTGAATGTACAGAACTTGATAATTTAAAAAAATATTCTCTAAGCTCAAGAATTTAATACTTGACTCAAAAATATCATTTTCCAAGACCGGAATCGAACCCTGCCTGAAGAAATAATTTGTTTAAAGAAGTATGAGCGCTAGGCAGGGTGGGGATAGGTATCGACTCTAGCGCGGTAAGGGGAGAGCAGTAACCATATGATTTTTCTCAATATATAGATATAGATTTAATATTGGCTAATGGCGGAATTTATTTTTCTTTTAATTAATACACTTTAATTAGTCGGGCAAGTGTAAATTTTTTTGAATTAAATTTATCACTAATATTAATAAATTACTCAACTTCAAAGTTAATTATTTATTTAAATAATCAGGCATTCTCTTTCAAATTTTCGGAATTTGTTTAGACATATTTAAACTTTATATTAAAAAAAAATCAAGCCTTTTATCAAAAGTTGTCTTGGTGCTCGTACTTCCTTAATTTTTTGAAACTTTTCAATAAAAAAATTCTAATCAAGAAAATAATTTTTAAGCAAGAATATTGTTCTTGCGAGCCAAGATATCTTTTTCTTTTCTATGTATGTATGTATATTAATTTAATTCATTCTAGGCTTGTAACAATCACAGCCGGTGGTTATGGACACATAGATACATATATGTAGCCCCATAGTATCTATCAGATCCTCATCTCCAGACTAGACAATATAACCGCACATGATATGATAATATTATTCTGGTCATCTGGATTTGTACTTAAATCTAATGCCGTGTTTATGGAACATAATGTCTGGAAAATAATAAAGATATTACCATTGGTAGTGCTATTGCGATTGGTATGGACTTTGGATCGGATATCCAAATGTAATAGTGTGAAGGGTAAGGGTGAGGGTGAAGTTGAAAAGGGCTGATACTCAATGCTAGAGCAGAAACAGAAGCTGCTGACAAGGTTACTTCGGGAATCTTGTCTTTAAAATAGGTGGATAGCAGGACGGTTTGATGGGATGGAATGGGAAAGGTTTGGTCAATCCACCTGAAAGCTTTAAAGACTCGACTGCTGGAGATTTTCTTGAAAATGATCAGAGGTTTGTCCAATCGAAATCGTTCAATTTCGCTTGACGACTCCCAAAAGATTCCTCTCTTTTGTTTGCCACCCTCTGGCTGTACATATATAGTATGTGTTGGCTTTCAAGGGTTTGTGTGTGTTTAAGAGTGTGGGTGTCTAAGTGTAGGAGCGCGAATTGATGAAAAAGGAAAAGGAAAAGGGGAAATAAAAGGAAGGGAGACGATAGGAGCTCCAGTAATCGAATATACACTCATTATTTCAGCAAGGACATTCCATCTTTTTTGTGGATTAATAAAAATCCTTATAGAATCATAAATAGTTAGACCCCTCCTTGAAATTTCATTATCATTTATTTGGAATAATCTCGTTGGTGACTAAATAGCCTGTCACCTGTCACGCTGTGTCGAGTAGACCTTCTTTTTTGCCGATGTTCTTCTATAGATGTAATTATGGTAGGATTAATGCCATCACATCCATCTCAAAACGCTCCTCGATCATAAAAATCGATATTTTTTGATAAAGACGTCTTTAATCGTCGGAAAAGGAAAAATAGAGTGAACTAAATTTGCGTGGACCCGAACATTCAACAAGTTTCTATTCGCCTCCCGGTCTGGGAGTACAAAGTCGCCTCAACCAACCCCAGGAAAAAATCCGATCATTTTATCGGCTTGAATCATTTTTTATTCCTTTTAGTTTCTTCTTGTGTGTGAAGTTTGGGAAAGAAGTCTTAGACAGTTAAAAATTTTGTTTTAAATTTTCTAAAATTTTTAATTTCTTTTAAAAGAAATGGAAAAATATATATGCAAATATACAAGCAAATATATGTTCACATATATGGGCGCATATAAATGTCTAGATATACACAGAAAAAAATTTAACTTGAATCAAGAAAATAATTTTGAAAAATTTAACTTTCTTGATTTGAGTAAAAAAATTATCAAACTTAGAAATTTTTTTTCAGTGTATGCTTACATATATGCCTACATTTATGTAAGCATGTATCTCTGCATATATGTCAGCATATATGTGAAAAATATATGTTGACATATTTTTTTTTTTGCGTAAATATATATATGCGGCATATATTTTTGATATATATATTTCTCCATGCGAGTTTGGTGATATTGTCCGGTTTAATTTTGTAAATTGAAGAGAGACAATAGATTTATTTCATGCCCATCTAAGTACTGAGTTTTATCAAAGTAAATCTTAATACTTTGATAGTTTTTCTTCAAATCTTAATAATAATTGTGAAAATTAATTAAGCTTATTGAAATAAGAAAAAATTACTCATTTTTTTTTTTTTTCTTAAGATAACATTGAAACAACTAGAATTAATGTTTTTGTCATAAATAGGTACTTATTAAACTGAATAATTACCTTCCGGATATTGCAGACTGTATAGTGTCGATTTTATTTTACTATATATAGACATATATTGGCACCAGATAAAATTTTATCTCGGATTGAAAAACTGGCCCTTAGTGTTTAGTGTTACTTTTAAAAAACCTAAAATTTCCTTAAAGAAATCTATTATAATTTATAATCAATTCTAAATCGAGACATTTGATTAAAAAGTTTAGCATAAAATTTCTAATTATCTCAGAAGATAAACCGATCGTAACAAAAAATAATAAACCAAATTTTTTATCCAAAACCTTCAGAAGCCTGTCACCAACTGTGTTGCTCACAATTTTTTGTTTTCAGTAATAACAAAAGCGGATTACGAGAGATTAAGATGATTGATCGCGAAATAGTCTCGTATCCGATCAGCGATCACATGCTTCAAATTATCGGTGGATTATATCCATCAATAAAATTCATATATTCGCAATCAATCATAAAATAGATTAATGACAATTGTAATTCAACAAAACAGATACGAAGTAAAGATACATCTAATCATTTTAATCGATTGTTGTCGTCAGCAGTTTAGACAGGAGTCAGTGACTTGTCTGTCATTTTGCGATGAGTTTTAGGAGAATCGTTTGTGTTTGTGAGGGTGCGAGGATGATACGACGCAGAACTCGATCAAGAGAAAAAGAGAATGGCGCAAGTAAGCGTGGTTGCTCCAGGGCGTGCGAGGGTGAGAGGGTAGGAACCTGCAAAACTGGGAACTAGGAATAGAGGCGAAGTGTCGTCGTCCGAATAACGGGCAGCGGCATCGACCGATCTTCTCCTCAACTCTCTAACACACCTCTGGGCCATGCCCCATACTCATACTACAAATCCTCCGTATCCAAACCGAACCGAACCGAACACGAACCGTCAACTTGTTCCCTCGTAGTATTATATATATTCGGTGTACCTATTCTATTCCGCGAATATTGAGTTCAATTTGCCTGCTGTTACGAGCTGCGACGAGCCACCGATGCCACTCTAATGCGATTGTCTTTGCCTTTTGTGAATCCTCCCTTGATGCATTCATCCACTCCTACATCCTACATGTAATACTTCTCTATCGCTCTTTTCTTTTTTCCTCTGCAAGGATTCCTATATCTCTTCTCTCTGTATTATTTCCGAACTTAATCTCGAGTGTCTGTCTCGATCAGTTGATTAAAATATAAAAGTAACTAGTCAATATTATAAATGACATTCACCCACTATACAACACACTTTTATAATATTGAAGTTTTTTATTATATTAAATGCCAAGTATTGATCTTGTCATTCGCGCATTAAAATTTATTGACACATCAAAACTATTAAACTTGTCTTTTACTGTCTCTCAGATCAATTCTGACTTTTAATTTCAGTTCTGTCTGATAATGAAAGAGATGATCAAGTTGATATGATAAAGACTTTTTTTGGGTAATTTTTTTTCTTTCAGACAATATCTCTTATTTTTTTTCTTGAAATTTTGATTTTTTATTTTTTTCACAGCCCCTTAAAAATTATTTTAAAGAAATGAATCTTGTAATTTTTCTTCTCATTAAATTTGACCTCAAATTTTTATAACTTATGTTATTATTTGATAACTCTACAAAAAATTACTTATGCTTTTATTTTGACTTTAAGATAAGAGATACAATTAAAATGATAAGAATCTTTTTAAAATTAAAAAAACAGTAATTTTATCATTCTATTATACGTTTGATATTCCATCCAGAATTTAGATTTATTTATTTTTATGGCTAATATTTTTATTTGATAATTAAAAAAAAATTTTTTTATACCATTTTTTTTCAGAGAAAATAAAGAGATCTCATAATGTTTTTTTTTTTTTATTTTTGGGATTGTAGTTTATAAATTTTTATTTAAAAATTTTCATACACTAATTCTTAAAAAAAAATTTTTTTTGATACTTTTCATCAACAAGTTCTAATATATTTAAATTTTTAAGTTTAGTAAAAAATTAAAAGAGATCAAGGCAATACAAAAAAGTACCTTCGAGAAATAAGATATATGATGATTTTTACAATTAATATTTTTACTAAAAATTTTTTTATAATTTCTGACCTATTTTTTGTCTCATAAAGATGACATATTCTAAAATTGATAAAAATATTATATACGAAGGATTATATTTCTTGGAAAAAATAAATTTTCTATTTATCTGTATTTACAATAGTTAATCCAAACAATAAAAAAATTCAACCTTCTCTACATTAAAGCACAGAATATTGATTAAAACGTCATTTATGCATAAAAATTTATTGACAATATCAAACTATTAGACTCTGTCTCTCAGACGGTTTGCCTCTAACTTTAATTAATCTGTCAAAAATAATAATTATTTTCATTTTGTCGAATTTCAGAAAGAGTAACAAAAGAATAATCACCCCCCAGCCCGATGGAGACGAGCTATGACGACGAGGACGACACACACTACTGCATAAAGTGTCACGTGACAATAACTGGTCTGGAGAATTACGTCCAGCATCGACAAACAAACTGCCGACAACCCGAAAGAAAGGCCGTTACCCCTGACCCGACAGTTTGCTACCCGGAAATACTTAACGCTGACGCATTTTTCAGCTCTCTCGAGCTACAAAGCAGTTCCAAGACAAAGCCAAGCGGCAGCAGAGCCTTGGTAGGGCTTGAGCCGGAGAAAAAGTCCGAGAGATTACGCGGAAAGCGCAATAAAGCTAAACGGTACAATGAAATTGAAGAGCCAAGTGCTAAAGAGAAACTTATCGCGCTGTCACCGGTAGTCGCGGATTTAGATGATCCGACCGATCACATCGGCATCCCTTCGCTCGTTGGATTCCCCGATTTGGTGGTGCCCTTCAATGACAAATCCACCAGCAAGCTCACTGTCACTTCGACGCTGCCTAAGCATGCAGATGAACCCGATAAGAGCAAACGCGACGAGGACGATCGGGATCAGTGGCTAAATGATGATCTCGATGAAGATTCTGATACTAACAAAGATACCGCTGGCGATGAAAGTGACAGCGAATCGGACTACCGTCAGCCAAATTCTGAGGATGATTCTGATGAAAGTCCGGTCGAGGATATTGGACAAGAAGATTCTTATTCTGAAACTGACGATCAGGAGGACAGAGAGTATCCCCCGCAGCCTCACACCGGGGGAAAATGGAAGCCTGAACAGATGTTGGAGCATATTGCTGAGGAGAACGATGACGAACTTGATCAAGATGAAGCCTATCATCAAGATAGTCCTGTTCCGCCACCGCACACCGGGGGGAAATGGAAACCCAGTGAGGTAAGTTATAGGAGTGAGATTTAGAAATTACACTCTGGTAGGATTTTTTTGGTAGATATTTTATGAAATTTTGAAAAGTTTTGGAAGTCAATGAATAAATGCAAAAAAAGACTTTATTTTCACACGATAAGAAAGAATTCTTTGGAAAAGAATCAATTTTTTGGCTCTAGAAAATAATTGGAAAAACCAAAATTATTAGCTGCAATAAAATTTTTTTGAACTGAGAAAATTTTCTTGTCTTCAGTTTTTTTTTTTATATACGATGACTTAGGTCTTTTTTAATTTATGTATATAAGCTTCATTCTCTGTGAATGTGAGACAAAAATAGAAAACTTACATGATAAAAAAAGATACTTTTTTTTGTGTAAAATCACGAAATCTCTGCATGGAAAAAAGAAAACTCGAAAAATTACAGTATAAAATGTAAAATCGGCCCCGTCGTAATCAAAATTAGAAAAATTACAGTTTGAAATAAGGTAAAAGACCCCATTAGTGAAACCTTTAACCCCCATTAGTGGCACTTTTTCTTTCAATGAAAAAATGTTCTACTTGGAATAAAAATTAAAAATTTTTTTGACGAAAAGGTCTTGAAAATTATAAATAATATATTTATTATTGAAATTAGTGATTTAATTAATTGAATAAGTACCAAAATCAAAGAAAGTGTCAGTAATGGGGTCCCCGCCACTAATGGGGTCTTTTTCCCTAACAATTTTTTAATTTAATATTCAGAGCTATCAATGTAAATATTACATTCTACAATGTAATTCTTATAAAATCTGTAATAATTACATTTTCAACTGTAATTTTTCCAGTTTTCATCACGAAGCGCGTTGCATTATATACTGTAATTTTTCAAGTTTTCTTTTTTCCGTGTGGGTTCAAAAAATTATGAAGCTTAAGAAAATAATATCCAAACCGGAAAAATAATTTTAAAACCAGAACTTTTTGATAAATTATAAGCATTGAAATAAGAAACCAGCAATAAAATTCGGTGCCAGTTTAAACGGAGCTTTTGTAAAGTAAGGGTATAGTTTACCATCAAACTGACAAGTTACTTGTATATCCATACCATATAATTACATAACAGTAAATTTGAATAGATTTAATACATTTTTATAATTAAATTCAAGTATGCTAAAGTTTTTCAAAAACTTAGTAGGCTTATTATCTCACTATAACTAACAAATATGTAAAATTTCATCAAATTCTGAACAGTAAATCTCTAACCGAGGATGAACTAAAACTGAAAATTCTTCGAAGAATTATTTGACTGGGAAAATTATTAATTTATTAAAGAAGACGAATTTCAGCAGTTGGTCCTTATTTGGGTTTTAATCGGCTGGGTCTGTGGTGAGGATACGCTCGTGTTTGCTTGCTCAGTAATTAAAGGATCGCGTGACGCTGGGCCGTTAGGGTAACTCGACTAATTGTCGTCCTTGGATACGTCTTGGACGCCGGGTGTCTCATTGATTCACATATATATCTATATATTTATATTTGTACATGTGGTATATTATCGTTAGCAGAAAACGGCGGAGGACGAGCCGGCAGAGTTTGAGGAGAAGGAAGAGGACAAGGAGGACAAGGAGGAGAAAGAGAGAACGATGACAAGGAACAGCAGAGAACCACCGCCTGGTCACACTCGCGGGAAATGGATCCCGGGGGCTTCGGTCACGCCGTCGGAACTACGATCGGGTTATTGGTGCAGTCCTTGTGGCCGGAAACTTGCCTCGAAATTGGTTTACAGCAGACACTTGCGCTCGGACTTGCACGCTCGACGTAGCATTCAAGAAATTGAAGGAGACGTTAAATTGCCACGATCTGCTGGACCGCTTCTACGCAAGAAGACCCGGACGAAACGTCAAAAAGTTATCGCACTGGTACTTTTATTTTTATTTACTTATTTTGTTTTTGTTTTACCTTTAACTGTTTGAAATTTTTAGAGTAAGTACGGATTTATCGGGGAAAATTATATATTTATACAGAGAACAAAAATTTTTGACTTGGTAAATTTTCTTGGCTCAAGAAAATATTAAAAATTTCTTGAATAAAGTGAAGTTTAGCTGTGTAAAAATTATTCATGAAGTAATAATTATTTGATTGAGTTACATGAAATCATCATTTATTAAAAAAAGACAATTGCACAACTCATAATAAAATTTTAATAGTTTGATCTAATAAGATCTTCATTAATTTATAGATAAACTTTTGTAAATTTTAGAGGCTGGTAAAAAACTCAATCAAAGAGAAAAAATTTGAGCCAAAAATATAATTTTAAATCAAGTAAAATTCAACTATCAAAATCATTTTTTTGTTAATTTTAATTATTGTAAAACAAATAAGGATAGTAAAATTAATTCTTAATTATTTGCAGCTAGTAATTTCAAAGTGTTTAATAAAATTTTCAGAAGCGCAGCACAGAACTTAAAAAAACAGTAGTTGATAATAAGCCTGGCAAAAAAACGCGACGTAGAGAGAAAGAAATTCTGCGGTGTGAAATGTGTCACGCCCGTGTGCGTCGTCCTCAATTGGGTAAACACCTGCTCTCGCACTACCACTGTCGTGTAGCAGGATTAAACCCCTGCAGTCCTACTGCGCGACGGTTTATCCTGGAGAACATGGTGAACGTGGTTCACCAGTGCCCATTTCGGTGCACAAACTGTCGGTTTTATTGCAACACCGAGGAAACTTTCTTGCGTCACTGGCGCTCTAGTCATGCCAACGTACCAACTGATGTGAGCACCGATTTATTTTTTATAGTAGATTTTTTAATAAAAAAATTAAATTAGTTTATAAATTCTTTTAAGGAGGAGAAAAATTACACATGTGTCTGCTGCAACTTCTGGTGCAACGGGGAGTCGGACATGGAGCAGCACCTTCTGAGCAATGAGCACCGCGAGACAGTTTCCATGATCAATGGATCAGTGCCAATAGTGATACGGAGACAACTGATTTTGTCTTGCGAAACCTGCAATCGGGGATTTCGGTACAACATCCAGCTCCAGCATCACGCTAATGAAACGGGGCATCCTTTGAGCTGGACGGCCACAGATGAGTACCAGCAGCGGATTCAATGCCCACTCTGTCCCGAAGTTTTGAGGTCCCAGGTAGCTTTACAAAGGCACCAACTGACCGCCCACAAAAAAAAGGTCCTGGAGTCAAAGAACGAAGAAGAGCGGGGGTCTATAGCGCCGTACTTCTGCTCCTTCTGCTCGGTCAACTTCGAGACTGCTCGAGACGCCGTTTTACACCGGAGAACACCCAATCACAAACAGACTGTCAAGGAGCACAAGTTTTCGTCACAAGGAGTTTCGCCCTCGCGTAAGGACTGCGGTCAATGCGGAGACAAATTTAATAACTTGACTGACTACAAACGACATTTGCTTAAACTTCATACCGACTCTTGTCACAAGTACACTTTCATTGTGTTTTTCAATAATTTCAAGTGTCTCTGTCAATAAATTGATGGTTTTGATTTTTTAAATAGATATTCAAGGAACGAGAGTTCCTGATTTTTTGTTTTTTTAGAGATAAGTTTTTGAACTGCAGTAAAATTTGGATAAGCAAAACTTTATTTCTGCTCTACTATTTTTCACTTCGATGACTGTCACTAATTAATTGGTTTCAGTATTAATTAGTAGTAAGAGCTTATTCAAGTTCCTCTTCCAAATTAAGTATATTAGGAAGCTTGAAACACGATTTCAAAAAGAATATTGATTTGATAATAATATAAATAGTTTCAATGATTAAGGTAGTTATTGAATAGCTTTAAAAAAATTTTTCAATAGAAGTAAATTGTAAGTATTAATGAAAAATACAATCTAGCTCGATGAAAAATTCTTTTTAAATAAGATTAAAATTTTTAAGAAAAAAAAACTATCAAATTTTCGTACTTAAATTAATCAAAAATGCAATACTGAAAAAACAAATGTAGAATTTTGCAATTTTAAAATGGAGCAATTGATTTTGTTTTACAGGAAGGTTATTTGAAATAGTAATTTTTTTCATTTCTTGATCAGAGCTGTTTATACTTCTCTAGAAAATTAAATATTTAAAGTACGCTTTTTTCCCTGCAATTTTAAAAGTTTCAAATTTTGCCTTCTCATTAAAATTCTACCCAAAGGATAAACAATTGAACAAAATTCATTAGATCATCTTTTGTAGGGAATTGAATTCTCAGCAAGATTTATCTCTTATCATTTTTTTGTATCTTTAACATTTTATTCAAAATTTAACTTTGTCAAAATATCAATTTATAGACATTGAGATAATCATTATAATTCAAAAAATTGATTATTGATAATACCAATATGAAAATTTCCAGATGTTTAAGATGCGGAGAGCTTTTCGCCTTACCCCAAGACCTGACAAAGCACACAAAAGAAGGGGCATGTGGAAAAATAACACAAATATTAGAAAATGAATCGCGGTGGGTGGACGGAGCGCGTAAATGTTTACAGTGTCCCTTCAGGACACACTCCGAAGCGGAATTGATATTCCACCAGGCGCTCCACGCGGGCACCGTCGAAATTTACTCAGAAAAACCCGGCTCGAGCAAGACCCCTCCGACATATCGGTGTCCAGTCTGCCAAAAAATATTTTCAAAAGCCTCCCTGCGCATCCACATTCTGCGGCACACTAGAGAGAAGCCTTACCGGTGTTCCAAGTGCATGGAATCATTCTCACGTAAATCCGCTCTAACCGTCCATGTAACTGAGTGTCATCCGTTTTTGGAGTCAGAGGCGAGTCAACGTATCAAGAATTTCCTCTGTCTACATTGCAACACCGGCTTTTATACCAAGTATGTATTTCTTCATTTATTATCATTATCAATATTGTTATTATTATCACTATTCCTGTAGATAATTTTGAAATTAACTTCAACTCAATTATTAATTTTTTAGTACTAATATTTCATAAGCGCTTTTTAAAAAATTGAAAAATTTTAATATTCTTTCTTTTTCTTTAAAATATTTTTGAAGTTACATCAATATATGTTAAATAATTTTCAGTAGATAAAAAAAATTTTTTTAACGAGGTAAAACCTTTTAAAAATTCGAAACAAAATTTCCTTTCATTAAAAAAAAAAAAAAAATTTGAAGTAAATAATGAAGAAATAATAATTTATGCAACGTTTGAACTAAGAAGGGGTTAATTTGAGAATCATATTTTCACGATATGAGCTTGTGGTTTATAATTCGCTTACATTAATACAAATGTCATATTAGATGTCACTATATGTCACATATATCACTATATGTCACATATTTATAAAATGATAATTTTTCTCAAAAGACTTGAATAAAATTTTATCAAAAATAATTTTTTTAATAGCTATTTCACTAATTAATATTTTATTTTTCAATTTTTTCTGGTCATATATTAATATTTAAATAGTTTTTTTTTTTTTTTAAACTTCTGTCCTTAAAAAATCGAAGAACGTGATTGCTTTAATCTGAGACAAGGATACTGACGTGAAAATATTAGTATCAAATTAATAAATCGTCATGTAATAGTTAGTAATCGAAACTAGTGATTGGTATCAAATATCAGGAATCCTGTGGCTGATCTATCAGCAAGAGGGTGAGTAGCAAATGTGTTGAATGATATTCGGTGGTAACGCCTATCCTATCCCTCGTATAAGAGAATATTTGAGTGTATTTACTCTCGGTATGTAGCGGGAGCAGTAAGCAGGAGGCGGACGTGCGGAGCGCCATTACTGCGACGAAAGATAAAAGATACGTGAGCACCACGACGCGGTCCATATATGTAAAATACCTGAGGGAACGCATGTATGGGATATGGAGAGCAAGAGGAAGAGCAGCTACGTAAAGGAAAAGAAGAAGGAGGTAAAAGAGGAGGAGGCAAGCACAGAGGTGACTGCAGACTGAGGAGCAGAGGGCCTGAGGGCTGCAGGGGGCCTCAGGAGTCAGTAGCTCGCGCGTATGTAACATACTATCTTGAATATGCGCATACATCCCGGTCTGGCCTCGTATTCTCAGAATTGGGGGACGCGATCGGTGCGCGGGAGCTGACCATCGCGTAATTACCTTCCTTCTCTTTTCCACACATGCTCCTTCCTCCCAGGTACTTTCTGCGCCCCCGCGTGTGTATATAATACATAATACATACACAAAAGTGTATAGAGCGTAGACCGGAGCAGCTCTTATTCTTATTTTATCGACTCTTACCTCTTACCGGTCGTTTTATTTAAAGCAACTCCTATCCCCGGTTCTCGGTTCTCCAGTTGCTAACGAATGAGCCTGCCAACTCCTCGGGTAAACACTCCGAGGAGACATTTTTAAAATAAACTTTAACTAAACGAACAAGTAAATACTCGGGTCTAAATCCTCCTTATTATAAAATGCATCTACTATACTGAAGCTATGGAGAGGACCCAATCCGTATATGCTGCCCAGGGAAATAACTTGACATCATTGTCGGGGAGAAAACATCAAGGACACTTTAATTATCTGATAGATAATTTTATATTGTTATAAAGCGTTATTCAATTCAGATCATTAATTCGTAACACATCTTGTAGATTAATGGAATGTTGGAATTATTAAAATTTTAAATGTAAAATTTAGTGGGAATTTTAAAATCATAGCCTTTTTTACTATTATCAAACAGATAATCTATATTTTACTCTATAGTGTATTTTATTTATAAGATTGGCACAAGATATCACCGACTTGTTTCAAGAGTACCAAAAATACTTGGATTTCTGTAATTTTTTATATCAATAATTAGTCTCAAATACATTTCACAACGGGATCAAATAAAAAGTTTGTTATTTTTTGCTGTTTTGAATAAAGAAACATTTGTAGTTTAATAAATTTCTAAAAAAAAAACATTTTGAAAATGTTTTTTTCAAAATTTTTATCTGATAATAATAAATTTGATTTTAAAATCATCATTCACTTACAAGTTCAACATCATGCAAGACAGTACGTTATAAGTAGTGAGTTAAGAAATTATTTTTGGTGTAAGAAAATTTTCTGGCTTTAAGAATTTATTCTCTTGACTTAAGAAAATCATTTTCTTCAAAATGGTATTTTTGGTTCAAGATTTTGGCTCTTGAGTCAAGTTAATTTTTTTATCAGTGTATAAAGACAAAAAATACAGGAACTTAGATGAAAACGAAACTATTGTTACAGCTAAAGAGAATTGTATTTTTTGAAAAAAATTTTGATTATATCTCATGGAGTTAATATGATTCAAGATCTCTTTGCTAAGAAAACGAATGTCAAAACAAGAAATGTTTGGATAAAAAAATAAGGCTTTCTTAAGAATAATTTTCTTGGACCAACAATATTTTTCTTTCAACTAGTTTTTTTTTTCAGTGTATTAAATTGTTGAAAAAATTTCGTTTTTTTTTTTTTTTTTTAATACAAAAATTACTCTTGAACCAAGAATATAAAGTTTTTAGAAAAAAACAAAATTATTTCTAGTTGTTAAAAGAATTTGATTGCATCGATTGAAGATAATGTACTTTTGAATCAACATAATGACATATCTTGGATATAATAAAAAGTATTCCCACTGAATGAAGAAACTTTTTCGATCAGTGTAGACATGTTACTACAACGAAACTCAGAGCTAGTCCTCATTCTCATTCTCGTTTTATTTAATAGCGACGTCTCTGTGTGATCTCAGGCATCCATATAAATTTAAAAAAGAATTTAACGAACGTACAAATTCAGTAAAGCACCTAGCAGTGTAGAGTGTAGACAGTCGCGGTTTGGCTGCATTTCAGGATAGGAGTCTGCTCGAATAGAATCGAGAGGACAAAATAGAATAGAAAGAGCTGCCTGCCCGTCGTTGTCGCCACCGCGGTGGGTTTCGGACAACCATAGGGTGGATAGAGACCAACGGGGACATCTAATACCCCGAGTAGCCAGAGAGAGTGAGCGAGAGAGTAAAGTTTCGAATGTCCACCGACCGCTATATCTCTACGCGTTCTCGACCGCAGCTCTGTTTTATTTTATGAATTGCAATATTTTACGCGACAACTGGACTCGCGGGGCGCCCACCACTAAACTCCAAACGTCTACATGCTTACCGCGTGCCATACCTTTATGGACATATATACATATGCATACACATATACATATACAGCCAACATCGCTACAATTGACTACCAAAGTAAGGGTAGCGTGACTATGATCTTCGTCGACGTATATTATATTAGGGATATGTGGAATTCCATGTACACCCTCCTATTATCTTTCTTTTTTTTTACTCTCGTTTTAAAGACAGTGCAATAATAATAAAAATAAAAAAAAAAAACAATATTTTTTTTAAAGCTGATTATTGAGGAAAAAATTTTCAAAATAATAAGTAGTCATGAGTTCGCTTCTGTACACTTGACTAATTGACAAGTCTCAAAGTTATGGAAAACATACTTTAATTTCGTTGATTTTTACTATTTATGATAAAGTTTGATATTATTAAAAATAAAAATTATTCTGAAGAACAGTTATTATAAATGTACTTTTAAAATTTTTTGTGCGAAAGGGATCCTTCGATACACTTCAATTAATATGGTGAGAAATTGATTATTTAAAAATTTATAAGATTATGTTTAAAATCAAAATTAATTTTTGAGTAGAGAAAAAAATTTCCTTACTGGAAAGTGAAATTTACTTGAACCACGTCAATAATTTTGAAGATTTTTATATTTTTGATCTGAGCATAGAAAAGTTCTTAAACTAAGAAATTTTTCTTGGTAAAATAAATTTTCCTTGATTCAAGTTAATTATTTTTTTCTGTGCATCAAAACACCGTAACTTTTGAAAATTCAACATAGAATTTTTCAGAGTCCAAATTCCTGATAATCGGAATTGATTCAATTAAAATTTCACTCAAGTCAAGACTGTTTTAATCGTCTTTTTTATTTTCTATATCTCCAAAATTATAAAGATTTTCTTGTAATTTAAAATTCATTACATGTTATTATTATATATTACCCAAAGATTTTTCATAATTTGTGCTTCAATTGCTCCCAATATTTCTCAATCAAACCTAAAATTACTCATTTCAAAAATATTTCCCCAAAATTGAATAAACTATTCCTCGTCACAAGTAATAAAAAATAAAAGTAATAACTACTCAAGAAATTCAATAACTTAATTTCATAAAAATGACTCTAATTTAAAGTATCGATCAAAACAAGCAACATTATTGCACGAAAAAGATATTTCATTTCTCAGTGTATACCACAAGAGCGAAAAGCAAATAATAAGAGCTTGAACGCGAAGAAGATCGGTGTGGGGGCAGGAAGAAGGATCTTATAAGCCAGCTCGGCGATAAGGTGTTAACATTTGGTTTATAGCAGTGTTGGAACACAACAAAACCCGCGATGCCGATGCTTTAATACTTATGTCAGCAGCAACCAACAACCAACAACCACCAACCAACGACGGTAAACACTGTGCTAGACTAGCTAGAGCACATTACCGTGTCTTGTATATATGACGGTATAGACTAGACGTACTTACACGAAAGGAGTCGTAATGCTTGCCTCTACTCTTAAATACTAGAATATGACTTGGAGGTTTACAAGCCGCCATGAGCCAGTCTGGCAACACACACACATATACACACATACACACATGTGCAACACACGGGATATACAACATACTTGTTCTTATTCTCTTTCTCATTCTATTTGCAAATGCTTTGTGTGTTATGTTCATGTATGGATGTATATACCACGGTATAGCATAACGTTTGTTACTTCTATTCCTTTCTCGTCCCACCTCCCGACTCATCCTCATCCCCGTTTGCTATTTGCAATTCTGTTGCTTGACCGCATCACGTTGACTCCTCAGCACAACCTTATTCAACATTGTTATGCAGTGAAGATACTTTTACTACTACAACACCGCGTTTCACGGTTAGTCCGCCAGCGATAT